AGCTTCATTGCTGTTTTTCCTTCACTTCCCCTTATTGGTGATAAAAGTGGTCACCAATCAGAGCATGCATTCCCATTGAGCCTTAGTCTTAGAACGGGGTTTGCCTTGAGGAGGACCCGACCACTTGCCTTGATATCTCCTGGGTGAGCTACTTGTTTGTTTTTGTAGTAATCAGTCAGCCTGCCTATATTGTTTTGTGTTTTTCTTGTCAGTCATTCTTTCAGGACATATCTTCCGTTCTTCTGGCCACTCCAGGCTGCTCTGCTTGTCCTTTCAAGTGGACCTTTCCCCTCAAAAGACTCTGGATGCTGTTCAGGACTCCATTTATGGTCTTGTGTAATGCAGGGGCTCTGCAGGAAGCCTCCTTCACTGGATACATTGCATCCCCCTTTTAGGTGTTCCAATCAGCTATTGGCAGAAGATGGACTTAAAAGCTTTCTATGGTGGTATTTCTGGCTATTCCTTTCTCTCCTCCTCCAGTGTCTATTTTATAGCCTGCAGGTATATAAAATACAGGTGGCAAGCTTCCAGCATCAAAATGACAGAGAGATTTGTCACAGGGTTAAATGGTGCTGAATGACCAAGTGGGTGGATCCAGGGAGGGTCCGAGGTGGGGCATGTTGGTGGGCAGTTCTGGGACTTGGAGGAGTGGGGGGCGGAGTTGGTGTTGGTGTTAAGCGCCGTGGAGTCAGCTCCGACTCACAGCGACCCTGATGCTGTTTCCGAAGAGCGGTGGTGGGTTCGAACCGCTGATCTTGTGATTCATAGGGAAACCTCCAACGCCTCACGGGGGGTGGGGTAGGGGCGGGGCTGACACACGCGTGGGCGGGGCCTCTGGGGGCGGGCTTTCTCTGGGTGAGGGCGGAGGTTGTGGGTGGGAGGTGCCGGGGGCGGAACACGCCAGGAATACGGCCTCCCAGAAGCCTGGCTTCCTTGTGCGTATTTCTGGTGCGCTGCCGGACGTGACGACACTCTGGAAGCGTCGGCCTGCCGTTCGGCTTCTGGGCGGAGTCGGTATCACGGATCGCGGAGGCACCTGCTGCTGCTGCTCCGCACTGAGGGCTGACGGGTCGGCACGATGCGGCTGGGCTCCGGAACCTTCGCCGCCTGTTGCGTAGCGATCGAGGTGCTCGGGGTCGCCATCTTCCTGCGGGGCTTCTTCCCGGCTCCTGTTCGTTCCGCCTCCAGGACCGAGCACCGAGCGGAGTCCCACGCGGCAGAACCGGCGGCTGGTACGGGCCCCTGGCTGACCTCCCGTCCCCTCTCCCTGTCGCTCCTCTCCTTGGTCTGCTCCTCCATCCTGGGCCTCATCCCGGGGTCCCTCTCTGCACCGCTCCAGGCCGCACCCCCACAGCTCGCCACAGCCTTCGCTGCCCCCCACCCTGGCTGGCACCCACCCCCTTCCTGAGTAGCCTTTGGGTCAGTCCCTGTTTCAGGAGCTCTGGTAGCGTAGTGGTTACAAATCGGGCTGGGAACCTCAGGGTCAAGCAGTTGGAAACTACCAGCTGTTCCGCGGGAGAAAGAGATTTCCAGCCTCGGAAACCCTACGCAGGGTCGCTATCAGTCGGAACGTAACTCCAGGGCACATAACAACAACAACAACAACAACAACTGGTCCAGTGTTGTGAAATGCCAGTCGTTCGTCTTCATAGAGACCCTGTCTGGGGTTTCCGAGGAGCAGCTGGTGGGTTTGAACTGCCGACCTGGTGGTTAACAGCCCACTGGTGCTCCTACAATGCCACCCGAGGAGCGCAGAGATGAGCGCCCGGCCAGCCCCGCTGCAGTGTCTCCTGTGACTCCTTTCGGGCGATTAAGCCCTCACCACCCACCCAGCTCACACACGGGCCCAAGGCCGGGTGGACGCAGTGCGTAAATGTAGCCCTGTTTTAGGTCTAGCCACCTGCTGCCCCATTCTAAGGTCCTCGTGTAGGAATGCCCCTGAAAATCTAATTTCAAATGACCCCACAGCTGTTTCCATGCTCGATCGTGGCCCCTCGCGGAAGGCCTGCTGGTCTCGAATTCTCCTCTCTTGCTAAGGACATTGCACCACTGCTGGGACTTGGGTGGGGACATGTAGAACGGCAGGCTACGTGCTGGACCAGCCTCAGGAGTTAGATTCGGACGGTCTTTGCTAAATAAAGGGGAAACTTGGATTTCTGTTTTTTTCTTCTTTCAAACCCCTTTAGGAGCCGTTTCCAATTGGACCAAGCTCCCACCACCTCTCTTCAGAAAGGTGGTTATTATCCTGATAGATGCCTTGAGGGATGACTTTGTGTTTGGATCAAAGGGTGTGAAATTTATGCCCTACACAACTTACCTGGTGGAAAAAGGAGCAGCTCACAGTTTTGTGGCTGAAGCAAAGCCACCTACGGTTACTATGCCTCGAATTAAGGTAAAACATTGGCTTGCTGTTCTATGCATTTGCCTGTTTGGGGGCTTTATGGGAGCTCTCTGTAAGCTTTCACTGCAAATCCAGTTTTGCTAATTGGATCTAAGTTTGGTGTTGGCAACTTTGTTAGGACACTGGGATGCTGAAAGCCCTGTGAGACAGGGTAGGCCACACCTCTTTAGCAGGGGGCCATGGGACACTGTAGGTTAGGCATTGGGCTGCCAACAGCAAGCTTGGCATTTCAAACTCCCTAGCCACTTCTCAGAAGAATGGGGAGGCTGTCTGCTCCCTTAAAGACTCAGAGCTTCGGAAACCGTCTACGGAGTGACCGACGGCATGGGGTGTACTGTGGCTTTGTCAGATGCCCCACCACGTGCTTTATGAGAAGAAGCAGGAAGGAGTGAGATAGTGTCTCGAGCCAGGTCATCCGGGCCAGCCTAACCCAAGTGGTTGCCCCCTCCTTAGTGACCTTCTGGCCTCAGTGGGCCCGTTAGAACCCTAAGTTCAGTGATGGTGTGCTGTGGAGCTGGTTCCAAGTCAAATGACTGTGTGTAGAGTTTCTGCGGCTGTAATCTTTATAGGAGCAGAAAGTGTCGTCTTTCTCCCAGGGAGCAGCTGGTGGAAGGACCCGTCTCTTCACTTGACAGATGAGGAAATAAACACAGAGAAGTTAAATGGCAAGTCCAAAATTACATAGACTCAAATAAGCCCTACCTGGTCCTTCAGTTGTTGCTGCAGCTTCTATAGAAGTGCATAGTGTCAGTGATTACCTGAGACGTGCAGGTAAACAGAAGAGGGAAGCTTTTTCGATGGATTTAGGCAGCTGCTGTGTGCAGTATCGTAGTGGTTCATCACACAGTTGGGGAAGATTACTACATCTGCGTCCATGGAACATGCATGTGAGTGCAGTGGGGGCAGGGGGGTCACAGAAGTCTGTCTGAGGAGCTGGTATTTAAGCTGAGACTGTAGGGAAGAGTTGGGTGGGGGTAGAGAGGGCGGTGGAGTTGCTTGGGGCTGTGCTGGAGGTTAGTGAGTGTGGTGTGGAGGTCTCTGGCTGAGCCTACATCTAAGGCCAACTCTGGAACGCCTTACTATATTGGCTGAGAAGGAGCTGTTGTCTCTTACTGACTGAAGGCACGGGGCAGCATTTGATAGCTACTCAGTAAATGCATGTCCCATGAATAAAACACTCTGGGATTGAGGAATCCCTGGTTTTGTTCTTGATTTCCCTGCTTTCCACTTTTGGATGTGGTGTGTCTTACATGTAACAGTAATTACTGAGCATCTACTCGAACCACAGGATCCTCAAGACCACTAGGTGGGCGGGAAGGGCAAGACTGCAGTGGTCTTGCTCCGGGAGCTCACTTTAACTGGAGTAGGGCGGGGCTTAGAAAACATGTACGTACACAGTGAATCCCCAAGATATCTCCGGAAAGTGATTGAGTGCTGAGTCAGGTCAAGGGGATGACCGCCGATGCCTGCCTGAGCAGCTGTCACGTCTGGAGCTGGGAGAATGGCTGTTCCTCTCCAGGGAAGCCCCCTTTTCTTCCCTTCCCTTAAGGAGAATGCCTTCATCTGGGGTCTGAAATGAGCCTGTTGGCTGGAGCTGTCCATGGTGCTTCCCGAGGCACCCCATCTGCAGGTCCTTGTGTCTCATGCCCCAGCAGGGAGGGTCTGCACAGGGTAGGCCGGGACTGCAGTTGAGGGGTGCAGCTCTGGATGGGGTGCGGTGGGATGTGGCCAGCTAGGGAGCGTGCCCTCAGCCCCCACTCCTGGGGAGAGAAAGAACCTGCTTTCTCGTGAGTGTTGGTGTCATCTGGCAGCAGCAGTGCCTTCACTTGTAACGACCCCCAGCTTTTAGAGTTCTGTAACTAAATCTTTAGTGTCTTCTCTTTCTTCACAGACTTTGTAGTCAAAACAAAGCTGCTAACAAACAAAACCACAGCCCTGCCATGGCGCCCCCTGTAGGACAGACGAGAACTGCTACCTAGGGTTTCTGGGACTGTAAATCTTTACAGGAGCAGACAATTTCATATGTCTCCCAAGGAGCTGCTGGTGGATTTGAACCACAGACCTTAGAGTTAGCAGGCCACTGTTTTTGCCCACTGTGTTTCACTGATGACCGATTCTGTTCAGGCCCTGCAATGAGCACTCAATGCATGCCCATCCTCACATACGCTCACATCAGTCCCGTGAGCCAAGCACTGTCGTCAGCTCCATTTCTCAGATGACAAAACTGACTTGAAACCCATTTGCCCCCACAGCGTCTGTTGGCCACACTGGCCTAGACAGCTCTACTGCAGGTCCAGTCCCGCTTTAAACAGAGCCTCAGAGTTCTCCTTGGTTCTGACTTGGCCACAACAATCTGCACAAGCCTCAAGTGGGGTTGGTACCAAACAGTACCTGTCCTCCTTGGAAGTCACAGTAGTCCAGGCTGGCGTGGAGGGTGAGGGGGTTGGCTTCTAAAAGTCAAAAAGGAGGAGAGACAGACTTCATATTCGGGAAAGCGGCAAACATCCTGACATCAGAAGACATGGCAGAGTGAACTGACCATCATTAAGTGGACGCAGCAAGTAGTGACATCCGTGACACGTAGAGGATTGAACCAAGGACAGACAGTCCAGTGGAGGCCCATAGAGAAGCCTGAGAGGAGATGAGACATCCCCAGAGGAAGGAGTTGAAGAGTCCAGTTAACATAGTTAGCTGGATGAGTTGCAGCCTGGAAGGCCGGTGTTTGTCTCATGTGGTATCAGGAGAGTGTGGTGGTCAGGTGCTTTGAAACCCCCTGGGTGTGAGTATAAATGGATTTAGCCATTTGGAGACACTGCTTGGAGAGTAGTAGCTCAAGTTTTAACAGAATCCACAAATTTCACATCACAGTGGATGTGGCAGCCCCGTGCACAACAGACCGATGCTGTGGCGGGACCTGTGCCACCCTCACCACCGTTGCTGGTTGGACCCATTGTTGCAGCCGCGGCGTCACTCCATCTGATTGAGGGCCTCCAGTTTTCTCTGGCCCTCCACCTTACCAAGCGTGATGTCCTCCAGAGACTAGTCCCTCCTGCTAGCCAAAGAACATGAGACGAGGTCTCACCATCCTTGTTTCTAAAAAGCATCCTGGCAGTGCTTCAGAACGTCAGCACATTAGAACGTCGTCATACGCAGCGCTGTCAGCAGATCGGCAACACTGTTTGGGGCTCTCGTCTCCCCTCTGTCCTGCGACCTGCTCACTCCTGCATCCTCAGCGACCTTTTCCCTAGATGCTTCTCATGACGCACAGCCCTCTCCCACTGAAATGATGACCCCTCCCTGGGTGCACCTCTCTCCAGCTTCTCTCTGTTTCCCCTCTTCTGAGCCTTTGTTTTTCCCCTCAAAGGAGCTCTTTGTATCTGCTCCCTGTTTCCTCATTTCCACTTCACCTGGGTCTCTGCCCACATCCCACCCCACGAGAGCACTCACTTTGTTGTTGTTTGCTGTTAAGTTGGTTCCAATTCATAGCGACCCTCTGTAGGGTTTTTGAGGAGCGGCTGGTGACTTTGAACTGTCGACCTTGCACTTCAAACTGATATTGCCATGAAGTGTTTATCCTGCTGTGCCATACCCAAGACCTGTTGTCCTCGAACCAATTCCAACCCATAGCAATCCTGTTGAGCAGGGTGTCCCTGATGGTAGTCTCCCCTGAAGAGGAGCGCTGGTGGTTCTGTGGGCTAAGGAGGAGCCCGCCGTCTGCTGTGCAAGGAGAGGAGGAGGAGGGGGTCTGCGTCTGAAGGTTCGCTTTCTCAGACTCCACTCGGCACTGGGCTTGCTTTGATTTGGACATTGGGTGCCCCAACTTGCCCCGTGCTGGTATGGCGGTGAGCTGGCAGGTGAGCAGCTGAGAGCAGAGCGTTGTCAGCCCCCCCTCACTGTCCAGTCTCCATCGTGTTAGCCTTGTAACACCCAACTTGGCTAGACTGCTTTTTGTCCCTGTCTGCCCCCTCAGCCTCCTTTGCCAACAAGACCTTCCCTTGGTGGGCTTTAAGGAGTTTGTTGGACCCTTTTTAAGCTTTATGGAGTTTGTTGGACCCTTCTACCTCTGTGCACCCTTTGCAGTCTGGGTCTGGGCACTTCCCTGGCGGGGCTCAGCAGCTCCCAGTCCTGACTCCACCTGCACCCTTGCTGCTCCCCACCGTCCCACCAGTTCTCCAGGGGTCCCTCCAGCCGTTCTGGTCCCCAGGATCTTCTCCAGTGAGTGTACTCCTGCAGGTGGCTCTGCCGCCCACATACCTCTCAGATCTGCCCCCATCCCCGCCGCGCTGTCTCGGGACAGTCTGCTGTTATCTCTCACCTGAACTGCAAGGTCTGCGGCAGCTCTTCCTGTCAGACCTAGTCTAAGTCAGCCTTGCTTCTTCTCGCCCTCTTCAGACAGCGACCTGTGCTTGGCTTCGAGTACCGCTGATGGCCTCAGCACATCCTCGAGTCTCTGGGAGGTGCCGTGGATTTACTGGCTGTGACTTTTCTATCCAAAGTCTCGTTACTGTTCAGTGCCGTCCAGTCAGTTTCTATTAATAGCAACCCTGTATAGGATTGCCACGGAGCGGCGGGTAGGTTTGAACCTGTTGGTTGGCAGAACTCCAAGGCTCCTTAACACTCACTGAATGATTGGGTTGTTAAGTGCTGTGAAGTCAGTCTGACTCATAGTGACCCTGTGTGGAGTTTCCAAGGAGCAGCTGGTGAGCTTGAACCACCGGCCTTGTGGTTCAAACCGACCTTGCAGTCCAGTGCTTTATCCCACAGTTCCACACCAGGATGCAAAAAGGGGGGTGTCCAGGACTCATGGCAGAGCTGGTTAGATTTGCCCTCCTGTTAGGGGAAAAGGAGCCATGGCAGAAGCAGGGACTGAGGGTGCAGGACCATCGAGAAAGAAAAGGCACAAGTGGGGCGTGTGGGCCCGAGCCAGAGAAGCTGTGGTGGCCGAGGAGGCAGGCCCTGGAGAGACGGCCATGCAGACTTCGTGGCCCGTG